TTCATTTATTTTGATTTGTCTTTGCACTGCATCTGCTGTTTCAGTTTTTTTTCTGTTTTGTCTATTTTTTACAAAATTTCTTTCTACTGTTGTTCTATCCTTTCACTCTCGATAATAATGTGCCATCAAAGTCAGTGCTCGGTGACCGAGTTATTGAAATTAATCCGACCGACATTCTACTATGTCATCCAAGATCAACAAAAAAAGGCTGTATTAGCATTGGACCTATCCAGGGAAGCAAATATCAGCAACCAAGTTCCTCTTCTAACGTATACTAGCTTCAGGAATGTGTTTCCTACCCAAGTCGTCAAACCATTCAACTCCTACCAAATTTTGACTTATACAGTCACCAAGCTTGATGTAGTCAGGCAATCTATTCAATATTACCATCTAACAGATGTTCGGAATTGATGGCGAAACCAAAATATTATTACTATTACTCATGCCCACAGTCATCATTTCACCCACGGATGACCAGAATGCTGGATCATCAAGATTGTTCAGTACTATCAAGAACAGAAAACCAGAAATGGTACTGAAATTTAATTGAATGTTGTGACCAGAGGATCAAAACGACAGGCGAGATTTTGAAATTACCAAATTCAGAAATTTTTTGACAAACTCTCAGACCGCAGAACTATAGTCGACATCTTCGCTACGAAACTCCCGGAAGGACAACTCAAATATGAGAATTATTTACTTTTTGTTGAGTGAATACGAAGACCTCGAGCCAAAAAGAACTGTAATTCAGGCTCATCGTCTGTGTCTGGTAAAAGCTCGTCTGGCGAAAATTGATGCAGCTGAATTGCTTGGAGGAAATACTCTTAATCCTAAAGAAGACTATCAGAAATTAAATATTTATGAGGAATTATTAGTAACTTTTGCACTATTGGCAGGAACAGAATACTCAAAAACTGCTGTCCAGCTGCCTTCTGCACGAATCAAATATACTTCATATTCTCTTTCCAACCAAGAATACAAGCAGTAGTATCCTTTACAATTTCTCCGACTCCCTCAAACAGCGGTTATGAATTTCTCTAGAGGATGCTAAGAATACAGTCACAACAGACAACATTGAGACTGGGAAGGGAAGCAACGGATATGAGGCAGGAGCAAAGTGGCATAAAAACCGTCATCAAAAAATCACTCCTCAAAGACGATTAT